TATTTATGCCGAGACATTTATATGGTTTTAACCCCGAGTATTTGACCTAAAAATACAAAATGTTAACCTTTCTTTAGAAAAAGTTTTCTTTTCAATTAAATTGGAAGAAAATAAATTTTGTTGTACTGCAATAAGGAATACTAATTATTTTGTTATTTCAAATTATTCTACGGAAACAATTTTTTCTGATTCTTCTTTTTTTTTTTTGTTAAAAAGTGGAAAAAATATTTTAGTTTTTCCTCACAATTACTATAAAAATATAAATATAGAAATAGTGAAAAAAAATATATAAATACAATTGAATGTAAAATATACAATTGGTATCTATAGTAACAACACTCGTGTTTCAATGACAAGATCTATCATTATATTTCAACACCGAGGCACTGCAAAATACTATCATTACCTCCTATAATTCAAACTTGCCAACGAAGCTCAATTGAAAAAAAAAGATAAAAATCTAAATTCATAAAATTTCCTCTGAACAATTTCTCCCTCAATTTCAAACTAGAGAAGGCGCATATAAATTGTTTCCAACGAAGAAATAGTGAAAATCAATATCAAAATTCGAATACCAAAAAAAAAAAACAATTGAAAGAAAAGAACGTCATTGGAAGACGAAAAGCAAAGATCAGCATTTTTTACAAATGTACATAATCGTAAAACAGACTCTCGTCTTTCCCTTTTGGTCTCGCATTTAACACAGCCATTTGCATTGTCCCCCACTCGATTCTTATTTTTCGTGAAAAGTTTTCTGGCTTTTGTTCGACCGGAAACTCATCGCGTGGAAACACGCTCATTGGCTTCGATTCCAAAAGCAGGGTTTTTTTTTTTCAAGTAAAGATCACTCACAGAGAGTAAACCCCCCCCCCCAAAAAAAGTACAGTACAATTCTTCTATGTGGCCAAAAAAAAAAAAAAAAAAATTTGCAAATGTCAGAGTAAAAAATCAACGATCCTAAGCGAGTGAAACCGACTCCGGAAGAGGGACGAACTAAAGAACAAACGACGCCAAATCATCCAACCAAATGCCCTTCTTCCTGATGCGTTGTGCTTTGCACAGTGGGCCAAAAAATTTATCTCAACGACAAAAAAAAAAAAAAAAAAACATAATATTTGAGTTGGGGGTAGAAAAAAAATTGGTAAATAAAAAAAATGTGCTGGGATTTTTAACGGTGGCGTGGTATATTTTAAAAAAAATAAAAAATCCTCTCCACCCTCCCCCCCCCTTCCGCGATTAAAAAAGGAAACGATGTACAGAAATGCGGAAGAGTGCTTCGAAAAATTCTGTGCGCGTTTTTGCATTTAATCATGCAGGGTTTAGTGGATATAACGATTTCGGGATTAACGCTCGATAGTATCGTGAAAAAATATGTAAATATTTTGAGAGAAGCACGTATACTCTACTGTTACATTAGTTGGGTGGAATACATATGTTTCGTATGGAATTTTAATTGTTTGTACAAATCGTTCGACAACAAAAAAGGAAAAAGAATTTCAAGTGCGTTTATATAGTTAAAAAAAATATATATATAATTTTCTCTTTGATCGTTTTTGTAAAAATGACATTTATGGTGACAGTGGTGGGAATTTAATAATAATTAAATAGATCTTGAATTTTTTAAAAATAAATCAGTATTTGTAATTTTCTTTTTGAAAAATAAATTATTCAGTTATAAACGAAAGCTAACTATATAGAGAATTTGCACAAACGAATAAAATAAAACATTATATGTTCTATATATAGTCTTTCCTTTTCTGCACTCGACTATTCTTCCGTTTCACAAATACTGGCTTGAAAACGTAAATCCCAAAATATATATGCGCAAATGGAGTAAATGAGTTTGTGAATGTGTATAAGCTGAAAATCAGGACGACGAGTTAGAGCCCGAACATTTTCCCTGTTAAATATCCTCTCTCTCTTTCTCTCTTTGGATGGTCCGTTTACACGGGTACTTACTCGAATAAAATGTATAGGGGGTACTCGAGATCGCGAAACGACTCTACGAAATGTTTCCACCGAGGGATTTTGACGTTACATGAAAAAATGCCCATAAACTTGAGAATCTCATTGTTAGAGCGAGGACGATTTATACTTTTTTTGAACAAAAAAAAAAAAAAGAAATTTTTTTCTACTGAAAAATGTGCTAGACACACTGTTCTGGACATTTAACATGATGGGAGATAAAATGCCGGTTGGAAAATTAATTTCTATATGCTTTGTATTAATTTGTAAAATTTAATAATTTATAAAAATTATCTATGCAAAATTTTTTCCTTTTAGTTTTTTTTTTTTTTTTAAATTGAAATTAAATGGAGACAAATTTCCAATGACTTATCGCGTATCTGTGAAAAGCATCAAGAACTCCATAAATGGTGATAAATTTTACTCGCAGTTATCTCTCAGTGATAATACAGATTTTCGTCTCTCTCTCTTGAGGACGAGGCTCTAATTCGCGGACGGACTGTAAGCCATACTATACTCGGTATACCCTTAATCTGATCCACGAAAATGTTGAATACCGACAATTCGCGGTTATTACGGTTGAAACTCGCGCGGTATTATACGGGAAAGATCGTTTGGAAGATGGAAATCGTGTTGCTTTAGGCATTTCGCATATATATTGTTGCTTCTCACAATCAGTGCGAATTTTCGTTAAATTTCAAATTCACACTGACAATAATAATTATCAACGCTCTTAAAATCCTAACCGGAAAATCATCTTTAATTCTCTTTTATTTTTTAAATTGTTACATTCAGTTTGATAAAATTTATTTAATAAATTCTTGATCCAAATTAGAAGTCACCTCTCCTTTGAAGGTGAATCCTTTACTTTTTCCACTGCAATAAAAAAATAATAGAATTTTATTTTTAATTACTTTATATTATTAAAAAACCAATTATTTAAAAAATATTTATCATTTTTATAATACAATTATATATTTCGAGATTCGTGATCAGAATTTTTTTATGAAGAAAAATCACACATTCACAAAATATATATAATTTCGATTCAATGCATCATCACGAAGTGAAGAACTTTTTTTTAACATTGCGGATATGTGTAGCTCGCAGCATCCAAAGTGTAATGATTGGTCTATATGTGGGTGTGTCAGCATTACCTACACGATTCGAGCATTATCGCATCATAATATCTGTATCACAAACCCAGAATGGACGCCTCGAGTTACCACCGAGTAAACTGTGCCTCGATAAAATTTCATTTTTTTTTTTAGTTTTCTGCCTTCATCCGAAAAAACAAATTCTTATAAAAAGAAAAAATTGTTATAAATAAAAATTATTAAAGTAAATAAAATGATTAAAATTATTAACTCACGTTTAAAATTGAAGAAATTCGTCCTGGTAGAAATTATGCCTGGAGAACACACGGGTTAATGACCAGTTTCATGAGGGAAATTGTTGGTCCATATATATTGGAATGTGAGCACATAAACAATGCTTGCCTTAGGTCATCTGAAACGCTCTATTAGGGAACGTTCATCCTCCCAATGATAGCCTTCACTACATCCTGAAACACACATAAAACATGAACAAGTTGTCAAACCTGATTTATTTCTCAAAAAAGATTTATTAAAATTAATAATACACAAACAAATATTACAGTTAAGAAATAAAATTTTTACCATTCCCACCGCTGTCACCTTTTTTTTTTTTTTTTTTTTTTTTGACTAGTTATATTTTTTAGCGCACAGGTCACACATGAAAATGAGGTTTCGGAGCTTTTTAATTTACGCCCACATGACGATGATGTTACTACGTTCATCAAAAACGTAATTAAAATTGCATTCCAACCCTCTGCTAAAGTTTGCGATCATTGAAACGCAATTAAAGGTTGTGATCATTGAAACGCAATTAAGGTTTAGCGATCATTGAACCGCAATTAAAACATGCCTTTTAATGAAGCAAAAAAAAGAGAGTAAAAAAATTCAATTTTTCGTTGATTTTGAAATAATTCTTTTTTATTTTTTTTTTTTGGCAGAGATTAAAGCTACAATTCCGCTAAAATATCGTAGAATTATACTCGCAACTAGGTACTTGAATATATATATGTGTGTATATAGTTACTATTGCCGGGAATCTAACCATATGCGTATACCAACTTTCTACGCGCGTTCAATGACATTGAATCCGGAACGTAATCCAACGGATCTCTTCTCTTCTGCGCGCTTGCATTACCAGCACAATAACAGTCTCTCTAAGCCGCTTAACAAAACGCTATTGACATATAATATTCCTCGCACGAATAAACCCAAGTACTACTCGTTTACACCCCACTCCCTCCAAAAACCCACTCGTGAATTCGTTTGCTACTGTACAAATAATGCGAGCGTCAAACACCACTTAAAATTCTAAATCACTAAGCCATATTTTTCCCTGACAATTTATATATATATATTATTGTTCGCTTTTTATTTTTGACAAAATCGAAATGTTTTTTAAAAACTGCGAAATTTAAATACTAAAAAAAAATTGAACAATTACTAAATTTTTAATTTCAGAAACCGCTGAAGAAACAAGGAATATATAAGCAGCGATAATTTGGATGAAGAATTCATTAAATAAATTTTATCAAACTGAACGTAACAATTTTATATAGTATTCTATAAATCAAAATATGATTTTGTGATTCCCTCCCCCCAATTCGTTTGCTCTACCTCACATTTATAAGTCTAAAATATTGTAACAACGAGAAAGATTAAATATATAACGAGGTGACAATATCCCCCGCGGGAATGAGACAGATGTATATTTACGAGGGTAAAAAAAGAAATTATTTTTATCACATTATTCTGTCTGATGTCCGTTTGTCCAAATCAATTGACTATTTTCTTTTCTAAAAAACATTTAAATTCTCTTTTTCGCTTCAAAAAACAACTTCACAGTGTATAAAAAAAAATTCCCTTGTAAGAAAGTAGTATCATAAAAATCTCCTTTTCCATAAGACAGTTTTTAGAGTTTTTACACAAATATCTAGAATTCATGAACCTTGATGTCAAAAGTTTGTTTCTTACCCATCCAAAAGCGTTTTTCTTTTTTTTTTTTTCGTTAACTTGCGTCTCCTTAACTGACAACCCTCCACAAGGAGAAAATGATAACCTCGTTTTGTTTCCCTCACCATCAAGACCTGTAACTTAACTCCACGTTCGTATAAACCGAAGAATATACTTTTTTTTTCTTGCTAACGAAATTACTATTTTTCCCATCGAAAGAATAACGTCAAAATTGTGAAACGTGACCGGAAAAATGGGGAGGGGATTTTTCTATATATAGAAAATATATATACTCCTTGAGAAAGAGATGTTATTATTGAATTAACCCTGAAAGTGATCTTCTATTTAGAAGTTTTTAAAGGTGACTGAGAGTAAATTGAAAAAATTATTTTTAAATTGCTGCGCACCAATTTGTTGCTGCGATTTAAAAAAGAGGGAATGAAATCGGAAAAGTAGTAATTATAATAGTCATGTAATTATTATAATTGAACGTCCTCTTAATTTACCTATATGCTAATAAATTTATATAGCGAGAGCCACTAGTCATATAAAACGCTTATGAATTATTAATTGGGAACTATATGGATAACGCCTCATTATTTATTGAAGTTAAGCTCACTGTAAACCCCCAAATGACTGCATATAAAATACAATGAACTGCTTAAAAGCCCAGAAGATAATAATCCAAATCTAATGGAGAGGAAGGGAAAATAATTCATTAAAATACTTGAAAATTTGGTAATTTCAATTTTCCTTTTTTATATTGAAAATATTAATAAATAATTAAAACTTACAAATTATAAAATAAAATTTATACAAAAGAAAACTTAAATATAAAAATTAATTAAAATTAGATATATATAGAGGGAAAATTGGACCACCTGTTTCTTCAAGTCATGTTGCCTTTTGTGAATAATGGTCCAATTAGAGAATAATAATACATCTCTCGTTCGAAGAGCCAGACAACAGAGAAGTGGAGAGTGAATCTTATTACGCTTATTATTAGTGATTCTCTCATTACACTCTAAAATAAGGGGAATAATAATTACTAATTACTAATTGCTAAATTATAAACTATAAATTAAAGAAAGAATAAATTTAGTAAAAAAAAGCCTATACTTTTTCCCTCTACTTTTATATTAAAATGCGAAAATTTTCCAAAATCTATTAGCAACATTCATTAACTAGCGAATTAATTAAGAAAACGTGTTTCGCGCTATACTTTTATATGCGCCATCCGCTTTAAAGACAATATCATTGGAGTCGTGAGAAGGCACCGATTACTTAACAGCTTGCCGCTTATGAGCAGAGAGCCACTAATTATATTTGCAATTAAGTTTAATGCCTTGCGCACGAATTCGCGTAGAATACGATTGAAAATTAATGCCATCATTAGATGGCTATAGAATTCATTAAAAAATTAAAACCCTATTTTTGAATTAAAATTTTTATTTTCCAATCCAAAAAACTCGTTGGATATATAAATAAAATAAGTCACAATATAAGGAGTAAAAATCTTCTATTATATTAAGTTAACAAATTTCGAAAAACGACACCGACCCCGTGACCTCGACACCGTCCTTGAAAAATCTATTTTCAATTATTTTCAAATAAATCAAAATACTTTGCATATATGCTTTTAGAAAATCTTACAAAACTATTTTTATGTAACATCTTTTTTCAATTTTAACCCGAAAAAGGGTTATTTTTCAATTTTATCCCGAAAAAGGGTTATTTTGCAATTTTTTAAGAATTTTTTGATTTTTTCAATTTTTTATTATTATTTTTTATTATTTATTGTTGTTGTTTTTTCAATTTTTAGTTAGTAACCTATAATATTGTGTCCAATTTTAAGTGTCATTAAAATCAAATGTTTTCAACTTAATAATTTTAACATTTCTTAATTTAAAACGAAACATCTTCTATTATATTAAGTTAACAAATTTCGAAAAACGACACCGACCCCGTGACCTCGACACCGTCCTTGAAAAATCTATTTTCAATTATTTTCAAATAAATCAAAATACTTTGTATATATGCTTTTAGAAAATCTTACAAACTATTTTTATGTAACATCTTTTTTCAATTTTAAGATAAATTTTATACAATATTAATAAGATATTAATTTAAAACATAAATTATAAATATAATATACATAAACTATAATAAGTAAACAACAATAAGTACAATTTTAACCGAGCGAGCGAGGTATAAATCGCTTGTATATTCATAATTTAAAAGACATTTAATTTAAATCATTGATTTAAAATTTAATAAAAAAAAAATTGATTTTGCAGCATAATGACACGCGTACATGAGAAAATTTTGCGCGCAAATTCGTTAGGGCGCACGTGTCCTCGAATAAACCGAGTAAAGGTAAACGTCACATGCACATACCGGCTAATGTGTTTCCTTTCATCCTTGTTTCTCTCTCTTTCTCTCTTTTTCTTCTGCACATACATATATACACTGCCCGACCACTTAGAAGCACTTAACCTGTTTGCTGAAAATATTAAGCGTGAGCAAATATCGCAAAATGGGACAAATTCGAATGAAGTATGTTTACAAGAACATACCACATGAAAAGGTAACATTTTTCTTTCTATACATATGTATTTTAAGCCTTTCAACTTTCCGACTTTCATCTCCTCGTACAATTAACCTTTTTCAGAAAAAAGGAGGGGTTCTTTTTAAAAAAATGGAAAATTTTTTTAAAAATATCAAAATGATTAGGGTTTGGTAATTTTTTTTGGCTAAAAAAAGTAATTAAATAATAGTTTTTAGATATGAAAGCATTTAGTATATCGAATGTCACAATTTTAATTATCGAATATGAAAAGAATGGGAGTCTTGTTTCAAATCCCAATTCTCTCTAAACAATATAATGATCAGTAATATTGGCTTGTTTATTGTCTTCGTTTCTCTATATCGCGATTCATGGTTATTGTGAATTTTTCCACCCTGGATATATATATATAGTTTCCATGTTCATAAAAATGAATAAATCCATCTCTCACTTCCGCTTTTCAAAGCAGTCCTCTGTTCATTTTATACGCAGTCCAAATTCGGCGAATGATTTTTTTCCACCTCGCCCCCTCCCTCTTCCTTCCATAACAATTTTACTCCCATTAAAAGTATAAATCAGAAGCGCGAAAACTAATTGAGTTTTATTCAATATTTTTTTTTACAAATCTAATTTAAAAAAAAATTAATGTTGTATAATTTTTTTTTTAAATTAAATTTATTTTTGTTTTTATGGAAAACATTAAGGCCAGGTCCAAGTGAGGCAGCGCCATCTACATTGAAACTAAAATTTTTGAAAATTTCCAACAGCCTCTTCTTGAAAACAAGAAGATAAAATGCTTTCTCCTTTATAGATAATTGATTATTGGCTACAAATACAACAGCTAAAACCTTTTTTGAGTTAAAATAATAAAAAAAAATTTCATGTCAATAAATTAAATATGAGCACTTTTTTCACAAAAACTGTAAGAGTACTTTCTCAGAAATTATAATCAAAAATGCAATTTCCATTTGGAAAATTAATAAACGCTAAAAAATACACCAGCTAAGATTTACCATTCATGAAAATAACAAAAAAAAGTTTTTTAACATAACAAATTTTACTAATTATGACAGCCGTTTGGCAGGTTATATATGTCACCAGACGTTTCGCAATTTTGCCGAAAGGAGAAGATTGGCGCTGTTGCTAACCACCTGAAATACATAATCTATAAAATTTTTTGTTGTTATTTTCGTGATTGGTGAATCTTAGCTGGTGTATTGTTTAACGTTTATTAATTTTCCAAATGGAAATTGTATTCTTGATTGTTAATTCCAAGAAGGTACTGTTTTAAAGTTTTTGTGAAAAAACTGCTCATATTTAATTTATCGACATGAAATTTTTTTTCATCATTTAACTCAAAAAAAGTTTTAGCTGGTGTATTTCTTGTTAATAATCAATTATCCATAATGAAAAACGCATTTTACCTTCTTGTTTTCGAGAAAAGGCTGTTGAAAATTTTCCAAAATTATAGTTTTAATGTAGATGGCGCTGCCACACTTGGACCTGGCCTTAAACAGTAGAATAATTTAAATAAAAGTAGGTAAAACATTAGATTGGATCTGTTTGGGAAAATTTTCAGGTAATGCAATAAAACAAAAACTCTTTATCATTTCGAGGCATTGACTAGTTCAAATAGTACGTGATCACGGGTGTGTATACGTATTTTCTTAAAATCGCATTCGTTCGATATCTAAAAAAGTAATTTTAAAAATTGTGTTGGAAATTTTTAAAATGTGTTTTTTTTAAATTTTGAAAAATGTTTGACTACTACGATGAAGAACAGGCATTGGCAAAAGGATTCCATGGTGAGTTTATTAATCTAATTATTAGTATTAATAGTTAAATCTTAAAAAAAAAAATTTGAAACCTATTTTTAAATCGTATATATAGCTTTCAAAATTCTTCTAAGACCTTCAAAAATAAATTCTAGTATTTTCAAAAAATTATTCTAGAAGAAGCACCAAAATTAGCACTGGTAATATTATTTGCATGCGGTAAATTGCTGCATTTTGGTCAAAATTACCATCAGTAGTGCAGCATCTAATATCCCCTCACACATATATACATATTTTGAACCTTTGCTATATAATGAATAAGAATTTGAAGCCTGTTGAAATTTTGCAGTGAGATAGCGCGAAAATGGTATAATTCGTGTGCATAAGGGCAATTGTCAGTAATTAAAGGAGTAGCAAGGGAGAGAGAGAGAGAGAGGAGGGGTTGAAAATTAAATTAAGTCGAAGGTGGATGACCATTTACACGAGTCCAGAATTTCGCTTCCGATGTGCGCTCTCACTTCTTGTTCTTCTTCTTCTTCTATTTCTCTAGGTCTCTATAGTGTTTCACAGTTTTGTCCTTTTCCGTCTCGTTTCGTTTCAGTCGTGACAATAAAATGAATTTGCATGCAAAATAACTCGAGTGGAGTTGCACGTTTAAGTTAGTGTCTCCCCCAACGGCGTAAATTTCACGTGACCAAAATTGTCTTTCCTTTTTTGAAACTAATAATAATAATAATAATAATGTGAAATTATGTCAATTTTGTTACGTTCAGTTTGATAAAATTTATGAATTCTTGAATTATTTTTTTTGCTTTAGTATAGCTTCTAAAAGTTTTGAAACTTTTTCATCAGATCTCGTACCTGTAAAAATAAAAATTTTTTTTTTAACAGTCAAATTGTTCATATACCAATAAATATTTCGAGTTAGCGTCTTGGTTGTACCTTGCGTCGCGTCCCTTATGATATGGGCAAAAGGCCCCCAAGGCGTTGGTGGTCTGTCGGTTAGGCGTGCTCTGTACTTACCGTGAAATGAATCAAGTCCCTGGTTCTAAAGCGAGCAGGTGCTTATTACTCACTGGTGTGTGCCCCCCTTTTGTCCTCACCCCACCCCCTCGAGCACCAGCCCTCGCAAATTTCTTGCCATTCCTACCATCCCATATATTCTCACTAGAGAGAAAGAGAGGAAACCCTCCCTTGCCCTTAGGTCATACCAAACTCAGTTTATACATACATATACATACACATAGTGAACTCCTTTATAGTTTGCAAATACCAACTCTGCACGCTTTGCGACCAATCGGATTTCCTCGATCGTTTCACTGATAATTATCACCCTCGAGGAAAATTTAGTGCCTTACTGCACAGATTACGATAAGGATACAAAATTTTTTCTTCTTTTATTATTATTATTTACGAATTATAAATAATTTAATACTCTTCAAAAATTTAATTCCATTTTTAATAGATTTTAGAATTTCTTCTCCCTTTTTTTTAAAATTTCTTTTTAAAATTAATTAACCAAACATGATTTTTGCATTGGATTTTTTTAAATTTCTATATATATATGGTATAATGTTAAACTGAATACTTCAGATGTTATATATGTTGCAATTGTTGATAGATCAAACAAACGTATTG